GTTTCCACAATGGGGCCGCATCCCACGTGCCTACATCCTACCGAAGAGAAAAAAGCAATTTGCAAAAGGACGTCCTATAGTGGCGTTCATCGACACCATGGGCCGAAAATTATGGGAAGCCTTAGCAGACGTTCTGCAGCTGATGACACTTCAAGCATGCCCAAACTCCTTTCATCAAGGAGACGGGATAACACAGCTCAAGCAAACAGCACTCTTCTTGCATCAACGTAGAAAATTACAAGATTCAACAGATTCCATCCTGTACAATCAGGATTTGGCTGGCTTCTTTACATCGGTCGATCAGAGCCGGTTTCTTTCAGCATACAGCATCATGGTTCGATGGTACAGAGAGAAGAACCCACTACACTCTTCCAAATTCTTCATTGACCACTCACAAAAGGACCCCACACATCGAGTCCACAGGGGCAAAAGCAGACAAAAGCAGCAAGAAGCCTCTTCCGGCAACAAACTTTGCATACAATTACAACATATACCACAACTCATCATTGCAGTGCTCCGACTCAACTATTTCACTGTTGGTACATCACTTATTGAGCAATTTCGCGGTGCACCTATGGGCTCGCCCTGCAGCCCGGCCCTATGCAACATCGTGGTTGCCGTCGAAGAACAGTGTTGGCACCACACATACAAACAACTTTTCAAGAACCACAAGCATTTTCCAGACCACAACAAGCAGGATCAAGCTTTCTTTTTTGCTACCAGATACGTCGACAACCGCGTCCTTCTTTTACCTGCACAGCTGACCCGACTGCCTCCTTTTGCACAGCTTACCGACGCATCTTTCTACAAGCCACCGGTTCAGCTTGAAACTGAACCGGCCAACATTTTCCTGGGTTTCGCCATAAACCCTCAGCACAGCAGCCTTACGCATCAATGCACTTTGCACAAGGCGGATATTTTACACCCACAGTCAGCCACCTCTGTTGCAATACTTCGCAGCAGTTTTCAGGCCCGCACACGCATGGTACGCAGAGTGACAACACCATGCAGCGAGGCCACATCAGCCATTCGAGCCATGCGCGATCTCTACATCGCTGCCGGCTATACTGATCAACAGCTGTAAGCAAAACACTGTGCCAAGTTGCCGTGCATGTGTCCAGAGTCATGCAATTTCGCAACATGAGAGCCGCCTTGTATCAACACAGTGCTTTCCGCAGCCATCTACAGGGTTAACTGAGGCATCATCATGTATAAAAGTGCCATGACTGGCAGATTGCAGCCGAGCCACAAAGCGCTGAGCGGCCGTCCTCGGACATCCATCTCCAAGCATAGCAGACGCCGCAACGAGCAACCTGCGGTTGGCAGCCACAATCCACAGCCGGCGCTTTTGCGCTCTCAGTTCCTACGTGTTGCAGAAGACGAAGATTTCCAAGATTACCAAGAGCAACACCAAGATCCGGAAGAACAGCAGGACGCAGCAGTGGCTGCACCGGCGACCCCGCCATTTCCACCTCCGCATCACCCTGATCCGGATTCATCGACTGAGATTATGGCAGCAATAACGCAGTTTCACAATTCGTTGCTTGAATCGAATGCCAAACTCGAGCGCCTGATACAACAGGCTACAACGGTGTTGACCACTCAACACGAGGCTACCACGGCGATCCTCGCCTCGTGCAAACAGCAGCTCGACGTACTCGAAAGCCTCATCAGGCAAAACGCGCCTGATTGGTCGTGAATATGCTGATAAGGTACGCTGGTATAAAAAGAGCCAGGTAGTGCACATTTCTCGCATTTCAACACATGTTGCTTTCAGACACACACCATAACTTTGCCTTCTGAAGTTTTGCCTCAGAGTGACACCTATCGGAATCCCGACATCGAGCCATGAGCGAAGCATCTCTTCCGACCAACACAGTGACTACAGATTCGCCACCCGTCGATGAGTCACGACGTGAAGCTCTCTCCGAGGCCCTCATGGAGATTTTGACACAGCATCGGGACTATGATTCCGAAACTGGAAGTGAACCTTCCACATTCAGTGACGAGGCTCTACGCGACCAATTAGCCGAGTTTATTCTGCAAACAACCCGGCAGATCACAGAGCTAAAGCAACGAGTGGAAAGACTCGAAGCTTCGCAACAATAGGTGATCAACCATGTTCATACCACCATCGGGTGCTTTGCAGAGGACGGTAAAAACAACGATTGTCGTTGTTGCCAATTGTGACAGTCAGTGCACTCACTTCACATATGTTTGGCATGCAGCGATTGATGCACTCTTTCCCGCAGCATTTTGCAAAACAACCAGTTGTGTTAGCACCATGGAACAACGCACCAGATCGCGATCTCCCACGGCATCACAATGGAGATGGCATTGGGCCACTAACGGCTCTTCATGGTGGCGTGAGTACTTTATCGCATCTCAAGAGTGGATACGAAAGCATGCGGAGCAACCTGATCAGCGTCCGACATCAACGCCTCCGACCCAAAAGGAGACAGTATCTACTACATCAACTCCTACATCCAACAAGAGAAAGCGGTCAAGAACTCCGTGAGCAACATTGCTGAGTTGACAATTAGATGCACATTTGCTGCCCCTGGCAGCCAACAACCACACAGCAAAGCTGTGCTGCGAACTCCATCATCCCTGATGAGGTTCAACATTAAGAGCATCATGTTGAAAGGTCATGCCGGTCGGCGAGGTTGCTCAATTGATGTCTCTGTGTACATCTCTCTCTCTCTTCTGAAGATCAGCGTATGCACATGCCTCAATGCAGTTGTGACTCCGCAGCCATTTCTCAGAACTACAGTTGCTGAAACATATTTAGGATCGCACACAGATGGACGAGGACGACGACAGCAGCCTATGGGGATCCGAAGAGATTGATGCCTTCCTGAGGAAGGATGACACCACCACATCCTCCCATGCAGTCAGTCACACACACAAGCAAAAAACAAAGCACACAACGAGACAAAAAAGAAGAAAGACAACAAAGACAAAAAGGACAAAACAGTCATGAAAACAAAGAAAACACGCAACATCTCACCACCATCCCAATCCACAACACAGCAACGACGCCAACATCCACATACTACAAGACGAAAGAGGACACGCTCTTCGCATTCAACATCATCAGCGTCACCTACGGCAACGTCACACATGGCTGAGGACGCACACCGATCTCCATCGCGAGATCCTTGGTCTTCTGACTCGATTGCACCTTACGATATTGTGCATCCTACTATTCAGCACAAGCGGTCCAAAACCGCTTGTGCAAAAATGCTGGTACGTGCAGGTTTTAGGTGTAGATGCCATTTCAAGATCATGAGTGACTGTCCCAACAAACTCGCTGTTGGATCCTAATACTCAGGACGGATTAGGGCTGCAAGATCCGCTAAGCGTGACAAAAAAGCCTGCGCATGCGAGTGTCAGCACGACACCACTTTGTTGTTTCGCCTGAGCACACAGCATGTCCATGTTGATTTGCATTCCTTGTTCAAGCGTTTGTCGGTTGGTAGCAGCAAAAATATGACAAAGCGAAAGGCTGCCGAGGCCGGCCTTCCATGGTACTCCATGGCAGGACAATGTTTTCGGATGACTGTTGAAATTCCACCCGACCGCATCACCAGAGACAAGCACATGTTCTTACACGTGGTGCTTTGTCTGGGTGACAACGTTCTCCAAGCTCGCAAGATCTTCTCCTACCGCATCAAGGAGATCACCGGCAGAACTCCTAAAATCCCAGCTTTCTTCTTCGAACAAAACCGTCGACGACTACATGATTGGGATTCAGTCACCACATTAGCCACGTTGAAGCCGGTGCTTTTTGTTAGAACCTGTTCGGATCAGGAAATACGACAATCACCCGATCGCTAGTGACAGCGAGAAAAGTGCGCCATTCACTCCTTTTGCCACGCATCAGACCTTTCACTCTACTTGAAGCATGTACGCCCCATTGGGGCTGTGTGTGTGTGAACCTCCCTAGCACATGGGAGCAGAGGGTCACTCCTACACTGTTTGCAATTTTTGCTTTTCAACTCAATCTGACATTGGACATTTACAAAATCAACTGTTGCAGGGGAGTGTGGCACTTGCGTCCTACCACACTCAACGAAGCTGTGGATGCAAGTGGGAAGCGGGACCTGATCAGTCCTGTGTACCTGCACAAAATTGAGCTGGGGCCCCTGTGCCAGCCCGATTAGAAGGCCCCTGTGCCAAGATTAGAGAGTTTTCAGTTGCCACTTTTGGCGGTTGATTCGACAACAAACAAGTTGTACGGTTGCCACAATCTGACAAGCTTTTGCAACATGAACAACATGCCTCTCTTTTTCCTCTTGCACTCGTACTCTTGGCCGAATCCATCAGTGTGTGTCTGTGTCCGTGTGTGTGTCTGTGTGTATGTGTCCGTGTGTGTGTGTCTGTGTGTCAATCGTGAGTTGTTCGCAGGCAGGGCTTTCATAGCTCGCCACAGCAGGACGACTTTTGAGGGATTCCGGCTTTCCTCTCGCCATGGCAGCCGCCTTCTTGAACCAGCTCCATGACATGCTCCACAAGCAGAAGCCGATCATGGGCGATCACTTCGACGGCATGCTTGCTGCACAGAAAGACTGTGCCGTGCGAGCCATCTCGCAACACAAAGTGACCATGCAAGAGGCAGCTGAGCTGTGCAGCTTGATCCAGCAAGGGCCCTGGAACGAGAGCCAAAAAAAGGAGCTTGGAAAAGCAGTCTCCAACTCCGTCTCGTCGGGGATGGTGGCTGCTGGCAAGAAGAAGAAGGGCAACCAGACCCAGGAAGTCGACAACTTCTTCTGCTTTTTGTCAGCTGAAGACAAGCAAGTCCTGGCCGAGGCCAGTGCTGGAGTGCACTCAAGGTGCAATCACATCGCCGAGATCATGGAGAAGATGGGCCTGTATTGGCCATCGGAGAAGGCGACAGGTCATATCGTCTCAACGATGGCAACACTGCAGTCAGCTGGCCTTGAGTCTCCTGATGATTTTCACGGGGCTGTGAAGAAGCTGAAAACCATCATCAAAAGCAGGCTGAAAAGAACAAGGATGCCAAGGACAACGAATTTGTGGCCGTGTACAAGGAGCCAGCCTTGTTGCCCGAGATCTACCGCAGTCACTTTGAAAAGGCTGAAGCAGGCGAGCTCCCTGCTTCGAGCCTTGTTGCCCATGGTCCTCTGCGAGGCAGTCACAAGTCCCTCAGCAGCAGCAGCAACATCGTTGGCAACAACATGATGAATCACAGCCTGATGAAGAAGATGATGGCCGACGGCAACGGCAAGAACATGATGGGACTGATGAGCTGCATGTCGACATGCATGCAGCAGTTTCAGCAGCAGTCCAACAGCTCGCAACTGCCGGGCTTCAAGTTGTTGGGAAAAGCCGGCGGCAACGAAGCCAGTCCAAATCGGGCTACAAGCATGATGGCGACGACGAGCCCACCGCACGACTCACGACTCTCCAGAGTCCAGCCATCGTGTTTCAAGCCCGGTGCAGCCTCATCATCAGCAGCTTGCTGTGCCCGCCAGCCCGGTGCAGCCTCATCAGCAGCAGCTTGCTGTGGCCGCAAGCCTGGTGCAGCCTCACGATCAGCAGCTTGCTGTGCCCATGGCTGGGCAGGAGCCTGTGGGTCCGGCCGAGCAGGCTCGTCAGATGCTTGCTGCATGGAATGCAAACAAAGCGGCAGCAGAGGGAGATGAGGAAGATGAGGAGACTGAGAAGCCCCGGAAAAAGCCTGCCGCAAAGCTCCAGCAGACGAAGAGTGTGCAGCCGAAGAAGAAGCCGGCAGCGAAGGCGAAGTCGCAGTCCCAGCCCAAGCTGGGCATCAAGATTCCGAGCATGAGCAAGAGGTTGAAATTGCGACCCAACGGCTGCGGCAAATGCCGCAACCGACCGGGCTGTTGTCCGTCGTGCTTCAAGAAGTGATTTTGGTTGGCATGCAGACATGACATGTGTCTCTGTATGCGAAGTGTGCAGTCTATATCTATGTAGATGTATATACAGTCTATATAGGAACATGTATGCATGTCTATATGCCTTTCTTGCAGACTGTACAGGTGACTTCTGCAGTGATGGCCGTATACACAGACGGCAATGGCCGTGCACGTATACGGCAAGAAATCACGGGGACTGCAGAGACATCCTGCACCGTCTCAGGTCTATATATGTTTATCTGTGGTGCCATGGTGCACCGTTGTTCCATTCACCCGGGGTTTCAGTGCCATCAGCCTCAACGAAATTTGTGCACGGACAGAACAGTCTCTATGCCGTGTGCACGGAGGCTTGCATGGCAATCTCGTATTATATGCAGCGACTTAGGATTCGACTGAGCCGCAAAATGTGTGGTTTGCCCGCACATGCACATGTGTGCACGAGCGATGTGGATGATAGCTTCGACAGCTTGCATGATGCCCAGATCGAGGATCATGTCCATGTGTTGCAGAGTGTATTTTAGGGTTGAGGGTTGAGGGTTTAGGGTTTAAGGGTTTAAGGTTTTATAAAGTTCGTGTTCGTATGTACTTTATACACTGTACCAAAGTATATATATTTCTGGAGAGTGCGTCGGAATGCAGGCCCGTGTTTTTCAGTCGAAATCAGCGAGTTTCAATACATTCTTCATGCTTCTCAAGACTTTTGGCTCATCTGTAGCAAAATCGAACACAATGGCAAAACCTCCTGCAAGTTTACAAACATGCTGAATGGTAACTGACCAACACAGTTATGCAACAGACATTTGATTTTGTGCTGTTAAGTTACCTATTCGAAATATTCGGGTTTGCCACCCCTTCCATTTTTCTTTAGACCCAGTAGGTATGCTTGAGGAACATGTCAGATGTTATGACCTATTTCTGGATCTTGGCATTCACTGTATCTTTCAGGGTTCTAGTGTAACATCAGTTATGCCTTGTTAGTTGGGACAGAAATGCCTCAATTAGATGTTAGTCTTGGCTCTCCACCATGTTTGTGTTAAGTTGCTGAATTTCCACATATCATCTTTTGTTGGAGTTTAAAGTGTTTCTGACCTAGTGGGGTTGACTATGGATTTTTACCCGCAGTCTGCCGCCAAGGATGAACATATTGGACATGCCACCCATGTATCCTGATCAGAATATATCATGCATTCAAACTTGCTACCCTTCTTCGGGATGATGAACTGAATTCCATCACCTCCCTGAATTTTTTTGGGCTTGCCGCCCAACTTGTCCAATATGGTGGATTGCTGGAACCCAATCGTGATGTTAGTGTTTGAGACGCATCATCTGTCTCCCATATCTTAATTTAAGAGCTATATGTATTTATACATATCTGTTAAACATTTTTACATAATCTGCATCATATCTAATCATTATTAGCCGTTTGGACAGCCTTCCACTATGTCCACTTGTATTTGGAAAGTTTCGTTTCTCGAACCACTGCGAACCACTCCTCCATTCTAGCCCTTTTTGAACTTTTGCCAGTCTTCCGAGTCATTTATTTCATTGATTGCTGTCATCTTGTCTGTGTCTGCGCAATTTGGGTCCGTCATCTTTAGTCATAACGATGAAGATTTGGCCACCTGTCCGTTGCTCTTATTCATATCCTGCTAAGGCTGTGGTTTCGAAAGCATAAGGCAATCCCTGATAGGATTGGGGGGGGGTCCCGCCTATCCGCTCCGCAGTTTCAACCGTGGTTATCTGAACGAACGATTGGGATTGTGATCTATCATCTCGTATCAGGGCTTATGCATCTTTTGGGGAATGCATGCATCATGTCTGATAGTGCAATTTTCAATCACCCAGTAAAAAACATGATAAAACCGAGTGTTTCACCCAAAAGCACAACATTGTGATGGGGTTGCATAAGCCTTCAACTTTCTAAACCCTAAGGCCGCAACAAATTCGCGTGTGTGTATATATATATATATATAAACCAAATCGATGGTTGAGATATCCCTATCAACTTGCACATCTGTCACTATCGTACATGTTTTCGACCGATCGATACATGTATATATTATATATAAATTGTACATCTGACATGATAACACATATGTATTTAGACATGAACCGACAATGGCATCAACAATGTAGTTTTCAACGACCTGGTTCTAATCATTGTTGTATGATATTCATAGGAAAAACATACTTAGACATACATGCTAAGTGTAACTATATATATATACGCACACATTCACGACTGTTAAATGCATGGTTCCTCTGTTTATACATATATATGTATACAAACACATATGCGATGTCATGCGACTTGTCAAGTTGAATGATCACATAGACACATGTATCTACAAACATACCCAGGAATGCATGGACAAGCTCTACATATGGATCATGCAAGAGGTGATATGTCTCATAGGGGTGGATGATAGAGATGAAGATCTTTATGAGGTTTCTCCTCGGTCCTGAGTCTAGGTGGATTTATGATCTTGTTTCTTGGCCTAAGGCCTGAAGGCTTTACAGATTTGTATAATTACTGAAATTCGCTGGCTTGGTCCGTAGGCCTGGCTCTAGCCTCAGAAGGGCTGCACTTTGAGGTTTTGAGGTCTCTGGGCTGGACTGGGGAGGGGGGGGGGAAAAAAAAAAAATAAAAATAAAAAAACCATATTCTTTAGTTTTTTTTCCCCCCCCCCCCCCAGCTGCAAGGCCAGGGCCAGGGCCACGGACTCCAGGCCTTTTGGCTCTTTGGTTTAGGCTATCTAATGTTGCAGACACTATCCAGGCCCGTTATTCCCATAGGAGCTTTCAATCAGATAACATTTTTCTTTGTTCAGTAATTTTTCCTGTAAACAAATAAATGCAACACTCTTGCACAATCCTAGCTTACAATATGGAGAAAGGGAAAGCTCCAAAACTCGGGCCTGCAGTGCGACGCTTTCTGTATATATAATATATGTATATACATATGGCATGTTATGACAGTTTATGGGTTTCGTGTATACACACATATATATATATATATATATATATGTGTGTGTGTACATATATATGCATATATGTATATATATATATATATATATATACACACATATATGCAAGCACACTGCAATGGGGTTTATCCAGAACATGCACATATCAGAGAGTCCTGAAACAACTTTGGTCGCTTTTGCAGGGCTGTGTAAAGCTCGCAAGCAGACCACATGGCTTCCCAATCGTCGGGGTCCAAATCGGCCAACCCGTTGTCGCAATTGGGAAGGAAAGTTTTCACCACCCAAAGAGCCCTCGCTCAGATCCTGAAGGAGATTCGTGAGCTGGATGAGCTACCTGCAGCTACAGGCCGGAGCTCGGTGAAAAGAGCTCGTGAAGAACTGCTGCATGATTATGCTACCCCTTATGGGCCCATCTACATCGAGCCCACACTTCAGAAGGAAGACGGCACCGATGTTACAATTCCGATTTTGAGTCCAGCTGCAATGCTGGCTTGGGCATGCGAGCACTGTGCAGCCTTCGGCCAGCTCTTGCAGAAGCAAATGGCACTGAAGCCGCCGACCTACGAGAAGCCTTGGACTCTGATTTGGTATTCGGACGAAATCGCACCGGGCAATCAACTGAAGCACGTGAACCGTCGCAAGGCCCAGGTCATCTATTGGTCCCTGCAAGAACTGGGAGCCCATGCGATGTCCTGCGAGTCGTGCTGGTTTACCTTGACGGCGGTTCGCAGCACCGTGGTCGCAGACATGGGGGGGATGGCGGTTTTGTTCCGCCAGCTGGCCAGGTTTTTTTTCGAGCCCCCCGATTGGCGGCAGGGACTTCTGGTCAACTGCCCCATCGGCTCTCCCCCTCTGTTTGCCGATCTTGGCATACTAATCTCCGACGAAGCTGCTATAAAGCAAACCCTCTGCAACAAGGGTGCTTCTGGACTCGTGTTCTGTGTGCACTGCCAGAATGCAGTCGACCACAAGTCGCACGTTGCTGCCAGCAGTCGGGGCACACAAGTATCCAGCCTGGAGACCGACATTTCCAGATTTCGTCGCCAGACGAAGGAGTCCATCAAAGCCTATATGGACTACCTCGCTGAGCAGAAGCCCTTGCAGACCAAGACAAAGTTCGAAAAGCTGCAGACTGCCCTGGGTTTTAGCTTTAAACCCATGGGCTTACTGGCCCATGCAGCCTATGGCCCCAAGCTGATAGACTGCATTATGTTCGACTGGATGCACGTCTACCTGGTCTCAGGGCTGTTCAATGTGCTGACAGGGCTTTTCCTTGGAGACCTCCATCACAATGGCTGGAAGCACAACGACATTGAGCGGTTCGCAAGGACTTTCACATGGCCTGCACGTCTGCGAGGTGCTGCCCCGAAGGATGTGTTGCAAAAGAGAGGATCCTACAGTGATCCTCTCAAGTGCAGTGCATCGGAGGCTCTGAACTTCCTGCAGGTGCTGCGAACCTATCTTGTGCTCTGGGTGCTGCCGCAATGCAACGAGGACATGAGAAACTCATGCGAGGTTTGGTTGGCGATGTGCAAGGTCCTCAAAAGATCGCCATACGAGATCCTTTCCCTGCAGTCCAACTGCAAGTCTTGGTGAAAGGCCATCTGGACCTCGCTAAGACCCGCTACGGTGAGGACTCCTTTTGGGTACCCAAGTGCCATTTGGCACTCCACTTGCCCCTTCAGTTGGCCAAACACTCAGGTCTGATGAGCTGCTTTGTGCACGAAAGAAAGCACAAAATCATCAAGAAAATCACAAACCAAGTACTCGACACAAGTCGGGCTTTTGAGAAGAGCATACTCGATGATGTGCTACATGGGCATTTGCAGCAGCTCGCCGATCCGGCTTTTCTCCCAGGAGATGCTTGCATGCATTATGCATTCATTTCTTCTATATACCACTATAGATGTTGTTATAAAAAGGTTCACAACATTTTCTTTCCAGTTTCGTCGTATGCAGTTTAGGAAGGGGTGCACTTGGTTCAGCCTGTGCGACCAGCCCCTGCCAAGCTCCAAGCCGAGCTCCGGCGATGCATGAACATCCAGGGCGAGATCATGACAGCAAACCAGGCTGTGCATGCAGGGAACTTCACAGTTTCGGCAAAAGACCTCGCGGCTTTGCATCTGGATGGTGAAAGGCTTGTCGGCAGGGTGGGCTACCACGTCCAAGCAGATGGGACATGCTGGTCACATGTCACTCTTTGGAACCACGTGCATGGAGCCATGTTCACCCTGTCGGACGATGTGGCCCTTGTAGAAACCAAGCATATCCATGCCACTTGTGCCTTCAGTGTGCAAGGCGACAGTGCTGTCGTGGTGCTGCCATGAGAAGAAAAGACCTGCCTGCGAGCTTGCAGCCCTGCAATCAATGGCGGTCTTCGCGCAAATATCTCTATAACACGTTCCCTTTTGGGAGGCAAACGGTTGGAAATTGCATGTCTATGATCCGATTCCACTCTGCCAGCGTCTGCGCATTCTTTTCATGCAAGGCTTCGAAGCAGAATGCTTTCAAAAGGTGAATCGGTGAAACTGCCAGCTGCCACTGCATCCGCGTCGCGATGTACGAGACGATAGGGTCACTGCAGCGGCATCTGCATTCCCCAGATGAACTGTATCAAGCAAGGAGGTGGTGGGGCGGCAGGAGGTCGAGCTTGAGAGGAGTGCGGCACGGCATGACGTTTCCTCTCCATCATTCCCCTGTGAACATTGTCCATGATCCGATTCCACTCTGCCAGCGTCTGCGCATTCTTTTCATGCAAGGCTTCGAAGCAGAATGCTTTCAAAAGGTGAATCGGTGAAACTGCCAGCTGCCACTGCATCCGCGTCGCGATGTACGAGACGATAGGGTCACTGCAGCGGCATCTGCATTCCCCTACCCACATTCAAATTGTGCTCTGTGTAAGATTGAAGCAATGCTATAGCAAAGCTGCCAGGGGTAGGCTTGGGCACGACTCGTCATCCACTGACCCGCCGTGTCTTTGCCGACCAAAATGATGTGTTTGCGATTCGTGAAAGCGCATCGCCCACGAGTGGAAACACATTCACATGCCAAGCTTTGCAGGGAAAGCCCATTGCCAAACAATATGCCAGTGGCTTTTCGCCATGGCACATGAAATGCACAAAGGTCGACCCGGATGAAGGAGTACTGCGACTGCCATTGGGACAGAACTGGCGTGAGCCAAATTCGGCTTGTCCATGGGTTCTCCAATGCCCATGGTATGCCAAGTTCTTGACACAATGAAAGAATTCTTTGAGTGACCGCCAGCAGTGCATTTCCTTTTTGAACATTAGCAAGGTCTTTGTGACTGAGGCCGTCCAAACCATACAGGCCGTGGGCATCATCACGCAGTGGCGGAGGTCCACCATCATCTTGCCTTGCTCGAGTCCAGGTTGCGCACGGTGTTCCTAGCCAGATCAAAGCAATATGCTTGGCCCGACGTTGTATGAAGCGAAGCACACCACTTAAGACAGTGTCATTCAGCAGATCACATTGCTTGCCATACTTTACGTCATACGCGATGGAATGGAAACCAGCTGCGGCACATGCTTTTGACAAGCGAGCACAGCCACTGAAAAGCTCCAGAACATAACGCGGCTTGGTGGTCAAGCCACTCGCCGACGAAGGCCGAAAAATTTTGGGCCCTCCACCGCGATCTGCCCCTCCGCTTTGAGACACATGGCTTGCGTTTTCTTTGGCAGCTGGTTGAACTCCTGATTCAGCCTGGCATGGGCCTCGTAACGGCGCATGGTCGAGTCCGACATCCAGCGTCCGCGCTGCTTGACTTCCGTCAACGATCGCAGGCGGAAGAACCTGTCGTGCGATGGGCCGCTGTGGCGAAGCTGGTACAGGACCGCGTGATCCTTTGGCAAGCCCAGTGCAATCAGGGCCTGCTGCCAACACTGAACCAGCTCGTGATATGTCATATCGATCAGAAAGGTCGTGCTGGTGGTCATATGTTGCAGCGCCTGTCCCAACCAAGGTACTTGCTGCCCGTCCAGTAGAATGCTCTCGTCTGCCAGGCCCACTTTGGATCTTTGTTGACGCTCTGCCGGGTGCAACAGGATTGACCAAAATTTTTGAGTTGGCATCGGGCGTACCAAATCCTGAACCTGCATGTCCAAGGCCTCGCCTGGACGCAAGTACGCCGTGAAGCACAGGAGTATTGCCGCTGCCGCCTTTATCATACCGCACCTCATCATGTGTAGCGCTAGCGCTGCCACCAGAGACCACGGCAGCGGCGGCCTTGTCCTTTGCGGCTCTGTTTTGAGCCACCCCTGTAGCGACCTCCTGGTTCGGAAAAGAACATGTTTGGGGCCACAGCCGGGGTACATGTCGCAAACGGCGGCTAGGAACTTTGTGCCTTCGGCCAACTCGTAACCTTGATCGAACATGTGATTCATGAAGATGCAACAAGCCTCGTCCAATTTCCGAGTGCTGCGTTCCAATGATTTCATTGAAATCTTTGTGCTCCTTAGAAACTGAAAGAAGCCTTGAATCCTCTTTTGGTAGTCCAAAGCCACCGGCTGAGACACCGCAACTTTCTCCAGGAACGTTTGCCCAGTGAACCTGGGTGGCTCGGCACGCGCCTTCTTGGCATTCTGCCTCTGGCACTTCTTTTCCTCCTTCTGCACCGCGAATTTCCGCTTTTTGGGCACCTCCTTCGTCCTGCTGGACGGGATGGGACCCATGGAACGTAGAATGCCATCGCCGCAGTCGTTGCTCCGTGAGCCCGTCCTCGGCGCCTGCGACTTCTGCACAGGCTGCGCGCGCAGCATGATGTCTTAGAGATTCCCACTTTCGCGAAGCAGAGTCCGCCACATTTCTCTCACTGGGCACCCATCGCACTTGCAGAAAGCTATCGGTAGCGAGCAATAAGCAGGCAAGCCTACGACACACCCTCAGCATGCCGAAGGTATTGGAGCGACCCTTTGAGCAAAGGAGCACCACACTCATATTGTCAGTGAAATGAAGGTGCTTCTTCCCAAAGCGCCGACAGGATCTAAATTTGTGTCGCATGGCCGCTACTACTCCCCGCCCTTCCAAAAGTGTAATGTGCTCTGGCATCTGCATGTGGATGGAAAAACAATCTGCCCATGCACCTTTCTCCATGATCTCTTCCTCAATCTCTGGAAAATCAAAGTTGAGCTCATAAGGATCGCTTCGCTCCGGTTGAAGGGGCTTGACCGTGCTGGGATCAGTAAATGGGTCTCCTTGGGGAACAACAACTTCACGAGGTTTCACAGGATTCCCACTATTGTAGCGCCATGTTTCCCTTACTCGGCCGTGCTGTTGCACCACACCCTGCTCCAACTCACGGCTGCATACCGCCACACCTGAGAGGGAAGCATCAGAAGTGGTCGCGATCGTGTCCCAACGCCTTTTGATGTCCACACTGCATAACTTGAAAAGATGCTGAGCCCATCGAGCCTCCTTTGCAGCTGATTTCCAAAGCCGCTGACGCCTGTCGTACGACTTAGCCACGAAATCATACAAGGCCCTGAAGATGCTTAACAGTTCACGTCTCAAAGTGGCGAAATGTACGGCATGTCCCAGCAATCGCTCAACTGCGCGGCCGTTCACCCGAGGCCTGGTGCTGAGCCATTGAAAAGAACGTAGAACCTTGTCCCACCGCTCAGGAATAGGAGTGATGCAATGATTACGCCCATCGATAAGAAATCCCAACGACTGCGCCAATGTGCTGGCCTCGGTCTCCTCATGGACACGGAAGCCATAGTGACGCAGCCTGGCAACGATGGCATCTTTGACAGATTGTACTCGCTGTTCACTTGTGCCCGCGACGTTAAGGTTGTCCGCGTAAGGAATCAACGCCACCTCCCCGTCAGCCAAATCAGGCGCCGGCCTGCCCTCCACGAGCAGACGCGACACGGGCAGGGACGAAGCCTCCAAACAGATATGTTGATGGACTCTTTGAGCAATATACATTGCCCAACTCCAACCCATAGGAACTATCTTACATCGAGGCCACACCCAACCTCCACTGTCCACCAACTCATCTTGCGGCACACGAAGCCCCCACTCCTTGAGGCATCGAAGGGGTATGGGGGGCAGACAAAACAAAGGTCGTAGATCAGCAGGAAGCTCCAGAGAGAAGAAGTAATCACGAATATCCGACTGGGCCACGTACAACTGCTGATCGGACGGAACTTCCAGCTGCGCCCACGTGGAACCTGCGGCCAGAGCTAGTGGCGGCGGCGGTTTGAATCGTTTGTTGACTCCACGGCAATCCAGAATGAAACGGAGCTTTCCATTTTTCTTCTTGACAAAGAATGGTGTAACCAAGTCGGCAGGCCTCAAAGTAAAATCCAACATGCCCTTGTCCACCAGATCTTTGATGAAGTCGGCATAAAGCTGAAGGTCAGCCTGCAGGCGCACGTCCATGTAAGGCTGAAAGGTTTCATCATGCTCAATGATCTCTCCCCACTCCTCACTGTTTCGTAACATATAAGCCAGGGGATCCTTGACAAGTTCTCGACCTTGTGCATCCATTACGTGTTCCAGCGCTATGGGTTGATCACCGCAATCCGGCAAGGAAACAAGGTCTCGGTCATAGGGTCGAACCGTATTCGAGGATTCTTCACCATCATAGGCGGCTGAAACATGCAGAAGCTCTTTAATAGCCTCTTGCACTGTACATGTTTGCTGGGGTGGTTTGTATCGACCCAACTGCTTATAAATAAAATGTTGACTGTCATATTGCGCCAGTGTCCTAGAGGAATGCTCATCCAGACCCGGTTTGACACAATACATCTCGTTCAAACAGTCAATCACCGAATTGGCCTGCTCCACCCTCTGCTGCACGCGAATGCTCCGTCGCTTAGACGATGTCGAAACACCTTGACGCACAGAAGGAAGCTCATTGGCAGGCAAAGGAAAAAGATCACGCCACCGACCCAGATGATCTTCAACTTGGGCCCGGCCTTCATCCACAAAACTGCGGCGATCGCGATGATCACCCTGCTCAGCCCTATCACAACAGCGTTCAGGACGGGCTGCAAGTCCCGAACGCCGACCCACGTTCATTTCTGATCCCCGCCGCCTCCACCCCCACCTGTTTTGTTGGGGTGCTTGCGGCGCATGGATTGCTCCTCTCTTGCTTTTCGTGCTTCCTTGGCTATGGCTGCCTCGTCCTTCAGGGCCTGCGCCACATGTGCGGCAAGCTGCATGTCCACACCCTGTGCGGCGCGGCGCCACTTCCAGCCCATGAAGTGATCAGCAGACGAATAGTCCGGTGAGCTCGGCGATATGCGGTGAGCTTCGCGGATCACCTGTAATCGTCGGCAGATCAGTTCAGCACCTTGCAATGCACAAATATTTAGCTGGTCTACTGTTATCAATGACTCCAGAATTCGGCTCAAACACTCGTGCTCATAGGTGCTCCTATCTCCCTTCGGGATGTCGGCAGTGCGCAGCCAATACTCATGATAGGTCGTGAATGTGTCATGTTTTGATCCCGCATGTTCTTCATCAGGTTCAATGAAGTTGTTGGGCCATCCAACTGCAGGCCACCACCCATTGGAACTCCATCCACCATGGACGCGACTGCCTCACTGAACTCTCGCCTCCTGACGCCCTGACCATCGAACACAATTGGCAACATCCGTAAATCATCCAGGGTGAACCGCTGCGCTTCCGTTCGGGGGACCCTCCGCACAAAGCAGCCTGCACCTCCACCTAGAAGTCCAGGTACCACAGCCCTGTCATCAAGCACGACCGTGCCTGCTGGCAGCTGAGCCCCATCTGCGCAAATCACGTCTCCCTTCTTTCGTCCTCCAGCCTCCTCTATGGCCACCCAAACCAAGTCATCATCGCCCATCATGCCGGCTCCCTGGGCTGGTGCGCCGTGCACTGCTGGAGCCGCCGGCGGAGGCCCCACGGCTGGTGGGGGTTGAGGTGGCGCCGGATGTCCAAGAGGAGGCTGTCCTAGGTTGGCTCGGATGTTGTTCGCCATTGTACGCCCTCGTGCCATATGTCGTGCAAGGGCCCCAGGATCCATAGGTTGGAATCCGTACACCTGATTGTGAGGAATTCGCCTGGGTATAGTATTACTCGAACCCAGATAAACAAAATCCTCCAAATCGGGATTCGTCACAGCAAGCTCCTCTTCATACATATCTAGATCTGGTGTCAGCACCACCCAGCAATCACCGGTGGTAGGCGCTAACAGCACCCGGACATGAAAGAGCCTCGGACGCTCGCCGTAGTTCATCAAACATAGATGTCCTGGTTCCATTGTTCCTCAATCAAGTGGTCAGGGTCAGAAGTTGACCCTTGGATCCCCCGAAGCCCTTTGGACCTCGACCAAGGGAACCGGGCGATGCTATAGTCTTGTCCACAAGCTTCCAGTATGCCAGGCAGGCTCCAGTAATCAACAGGATGAAGCACAAGCACACCACAAGAGATCCGAACAAGCTGTGGCTATCCTTGGAGATGCACTCGCACCCACAGTGACAAGTGCAAGGAGCGACCCGCACCTCTCTAACTTCAAGGAGAGGCCGCACGCACCAACCTGCCCCAAAGGCCACTCCTGCAATCGCCCACTGGTCCATAGGGCAAGGCATCTACTTTCGAGCTTGAGAGGAGTGCGGCACGGCATGACGTTTCCTCTCCATCATTCCCCTGTGAACATTGTCCATATATCACAAATCCATCAGCTCTGAAACCACTTAGTTTACTTAGCAGACTTATGTAAGTATGACTTAGCTGCAACGATAAGTTGACTTAGCTATTTATGCTAAATGGAGTTATGCTAAGTGGGATAAGTCAGTTATTAAGTCGACCAACCGAATACTAAGCATGATAACTTTTTACTAAGCCCAGCGGGCCTTTAAGTGCGTGCGTGCGTGCGTGCGTGCGTGCGTGCGTGCGTGCGTGCGTGGGTGCGTGCGTGCGTGCGTGCGTGGGTGCGTGCGTGCGTGCGTGCGGGCGGGCGGGCG